ACCCATAAAGGACGAATTCGATGTCAGATTTGAGAAAGAAACCTTCCTCTAGATTTTCAACATCAGCGGTTCACGCGATGCAGTAGCCTTATACTGGTCGAAAAATATTTTTTTCCTGATTGACCTAAAAATCCAAAAAAATTCATAGACACTAATTCAGACCCATAAAGAACGAATTCGATGTCAGATTTGAGAAAGAACCATTCCGACTTGATATTGTTTCATGGTTATATGGAATATGTGATGAAATCGCAGAACTGAAACTGTGAAAGCAAATGAGAAAATACATTTTAATGAGAGGGTTATAAATATGTTCACTAGAAATTCTTTATGCCAGTTCTGTCACTACAATGGAACTGCATGTTGCTACTCCATCCCGAAATAGGTCTAGCATATTGGATATTCGAATATATGGTCCTCAAAAAGGGCGGTTAGATGAGAATATGGCGGAAATAATTCACCTTGGCAACGTTGCTAAATGATCTGTGCCATCACGAACGATGAGAAAATGATTAGATGTTGTTTCATCATACTTCTATGAGAAATGACAGATGTCAGACAAGTAATCATATTCAACTTGAAAAAGGTCTGACGTTGTGTTTATTCATTGACTGCAAGTATTGCAAAATTCAGTGTCATTTGTCAATGTCAATCATAAGAAGTTTGGGAAAGAAAGAGCTCAATAGAAGTTGTTTTTGCTCTTTTTTCGATAATTAACAACTCATCAATTTCTCATACCATCATTTTGATAATGGCGACGATCTCATTTATATTTGACATCTTCGCTGAATGAAATATCTCCTCCTTGAGAATATGGTCAATAAGTCTGTGCAAAAGATAGTTTTGATCATAATTATCTATCAGATAAAGTTTCAATGACAATACTACTGCGTCAGTGCTCTGTGATATTTTAAATGATCTAGGTGCTAGAATAGTTCTTGTGATGAAATGGCGAACGATGGTGGTGATATCTTTCGTGAAGTAAACTGAAATATTATGGCTTCGCCGATTCAGCTGTTCGTTTTTTCAAATGCTACCTCTTCGATCGATATCAGATGGTTGAAATAAATGATGTTTGGTCGCTTCCAGCTCTCATTATTTCCGGTGTTCCTTAAGGGTCCATTCTTGGTCCTCTTTTATTCTTGATATATACCGCAGACATTCATGATAAAATAAAATTTTCGAACCTTCAAACCTATCCAAATGACAAACAACTTGTGCATCATATGGAACCCTCTGTTGCAATTGATACCTGTGAAGAAATGAATTGCAATTTACAAGCCATCTGTCAATATTCTGTTCAGCATAATTCAACATTGAATTCCACCAGAAGTGTCGCTATTTTATTTTGTTCTGAAGGAGTAAGAGAACAGCTCAAAGGAAGGATACAATTGCACATAGAGGATACACCTTTAGAATACTCGACATCATCGAATAATCTAGGACGTATTATTGATGAAAAATTAGGATTCGTCGAACATGTCAAGACATTAATACAGCGGTCATAAGCACGATTGAGATTGCTCGTTGCAAATAAGGAAATCTGAGGAAACAATTACGTGGCATCGTTTATTTTCCCTGTTTAGGGCAAAGAACCATTTATAGAATCCAGAGAACTCTGTGACCCATTCTGTGACTATGAACTTAGGTAATTTCAGTGGTTACATATGAGCAATCCCTCAGAATATTATTTTTTTGATTCCATTCACAAGTTGCTGAAGGATTCAACTCCAGCTTATCTTAGAGAAAATATAATTTTCAGACAAAATGTCCATAATATGAATGTTAGACATCAGCTAAAATTAACAAAGCCTTATCATACCACGTCTATGTTTGCAAGAAGCATCACATACAACTCGGTTATACTGTATAACTGTGAGAAAATAAGTGAAAATGTAGATGTCAAGCTAGATTTAGGATTTTAGGTTTAGGATTAGTATTAGGATAAGATTATAAGCCGAGCACAGGTTTAGTGTTCGAATAGCTTCCTAGCTAAACTTCGCCTGGTGCACCTACCATATATGCCCCATATTACTATGTAATATTCTTTTGAGGAAATAAAGACGAATTATTATTATTATTATTATTATTATGGTATTGTCACAAGAAAGCCACTTATTTTGCAAAACTTTCAAGTCGATAATACTGCTGAGTCTTCTTTACCATTCTGAAGGATGACAAGACAGTTGACTGATGATATAAGGATTTACTCATCAAGTTCTATGGTTTTATGGAGTGTGTAGAGTACCTTATTTGTTGACAAGAGCCAAAAGTTCTCAAACCTCATTGTCTCGTTACTCACAATGAATCACGCATGCGCAGTATCTCTTAAAAAATATTGATAGGAATTTCCTGATCTTGAAATGGAACTATGGAGAACCGATATTCTAGTAAACGACAAAAGTTGACTTCAAACTTTCAGCACAGATGGCAGTGCGTGGAAACAAGTTAAAACCAATATTTGTGCCAATTACCGTTTCATTTCGAGATTTATCGCATATCTAACTTCGTTAAGGAGCTTTTCGCTTTGAGACTTGTTATTCGAGTAATTACCGGAGAATAATAATTATCATGGGTTGTTCGGGCTGTGTATTTTCAAAGCCGTTTGGCTCGAGGGGAGAGCTTTGATTAAACTCCCAATGATGAGACAGACGGTTTACCTATCTCGGATCCAGGAAAATGTTCTGCCTTTATTATTCCAATCGACTAGTTAGTTTTCCATTTCGTTAATATTCTTGTAATATCCAGGAATTTGTGTAGATATCAGACACCCATACACACACGAATCATTTCTCCGAAGGTATCCTAACTCTACTGCATTTGTGGAAGAAGGCAAAAAAATCTACATATAGAGATCATCTTTTATTATTTGTTCTCTGACATGAGAGAAGAAACGGCAACTTTTCATCATTATTAATACCCAGCCAGGAAGGAGAAAAATATAATTAATAATGCTTCTTATAACGAAATTATCCCGAATATCTTGATTATAAGCACAAACACAAACCCTTTGCAGCGCTGTGTTTATTATCAGAGAGGGGAGTTTCTTCATTTACTTTTCTTGGATTCCTTTCATCTTGATTGTAACTTTGGAAAGGGACACTCGGATGATGGATTAGTGAAAGATGATTAAAAAAGTTAGGACAGTCATCAACACAAAAATTTCATCTTCATCAGGAATTCTTTGAAAGGTGAAATCTATCCTGATAGTATCGAACAGTGAATGATGGGTTTGATGTGATTCATAATAATACCTGCTCTCTTTACTATACATTGTCTCATTATATCATCAATATCAAATGGATAGTTACTCCAAAGAGATCAAATTCGATAGTTCTAGCGAAAGTAGCCATCCATGGGGAAGATCTATTCTGATAGGTATAATTTGATTTCTGAGAAAACCTTCTAAACTATACTATAACTGCCTTATAATATTGAAACGTTATTCTGGTGCAGAAGCGAACACGACACTATTTATTTTCGAATGAATTTATTTTAATTAATTCTTATCGAACTTATTACTATTATTTATGTAAAACGATTTATATCACGCGGTATATGACTGTTTCTCTGATACTCGCTGCTTGACTGACGGTAGCTGTCCGACCGTCCTTATATATCAGATCCCTTGGCAGGCTTTGCTTCTCGAACGTTTTCGAATGATATTCCGTACCCTTCTTTGGTTATAGAAACTTCTAGAACAATATCTCTCTCTCTTTAATAGTTCCATCGATTATGTCGAGATGATTCCAGATATTTTTCTGCCAGGTTATGTGTCGCCATGACACATATTGGGTGTTCGGAAATACGCTGGTATATGTTAGAATCATTGGGATATTCGAGAGTGATCCGGGATGCGTGTTACTGGGTGATCGTTGTACTCCTGCTTTCCTGATGACGTTCTATAGGTGAATATCATTACAATATCATCAACACTGAATAAAAAGATCCAATTTGACTTGATAATTCTAGCGAAAGCAGCCATATTCCCTATCCATGAGTGAAACGAAATTCGTATTTTCTTGAAGAAAACCTGATGAGAATCCCTGTACATTCATGTATTTTAGAGTGTTTGTTATGCACTCGTTTCTGTTTGTGAACTTCCTCAGAAAGATGTTCAGGAGGGGATTGCTGAATAGCACACAAATTGACTTTGGAGGTGCACTCGCTTAATCTGCTATTAGCGAAGGATTAGTTTTACCGAACGAGACAGGAAATTGAGTTTGAAGAGACGAGAGAGGTTATAGAGGTCGTGCTCTAGATCCATTACAAAATTTTAATGAGTATTATTATTATTGAACAAACTTCCTTACATGAACTGTTCTCATTTTTCTAAGATAAGGAAGACATTTTTAATTTGGAATGACTATGTTGCGACTATAGCTAGGATTTCTCATTAGCTCGTCTTCGTTCGAATACTAGTGCCTATAGAGACGGGAGGTAACAAATATAATCAGCGCGGGTACAGCGCGACTAAATAGTTTCTTCATACTACCTATGTTACTACGACTCGTGGCGTAGTTGACTGAGCGTTTGAATCTCACGTCAGCGACCCGTGTTCGATGACTGCGACGGTCGGTTTTTTTAAATTTTTTTTCTCAAGTGATTTTCCGAAAAATATAATTTTTAAGAAGAAGTTTCTTTTTGGCCGATTAAGGTTAGATGGTTTAGGAAAAGTAATGTCATCTTTTATACAGGAGGGAAAACAGAACTGCCTCTATAGGAAGAGGGTTCATTTAGGCCGAGTAAGGTTAGATGGTTTTCCAGAGCATTACAACTTGAATGCCTTCACATAACTGTATTTGGATTCATAGGTGACGCTTCATTCATTCTATCTTATGTTGCAGGCAACAATGCTGATCTATAGTTCTATAGTCTGCGGGAAGCCGAAGAAAAGCAGAATTTGGATTTCATTTCATTCTTGAAGCTATAATTATTGTTGATTGTGTATAGTTTCAGTAGATGTATTCGAAAATAAGAGTTGAATGCTATCAGTTTTATTACTTGGTTTCCAACCTGTGTGGTTGTAGATTATATAGAACGCCGGAGGATCTGTAAACAATGAGCATATAGATACTTAAGAAAATAGCAAAACACCGTCGTAGAAAAACTGATAAAAATCACAACATATTGATTATTATTGATGCTTCTGCGTTGCCCTGTGTATAGGGAGCACCTATAAGATTTCTTTGTCAAAGCTCAAACCCTTCAATATGGCTTTGCCACAGAATGTCATATGCATGAATCCGTTGAAATTAGAACTTGGACGGCACAATCGGTAACTTCGAAATAAGTTCCATCGAAAACCAACTTCATCGCTTTTAAGCTCGTCAGTAACTCAGTGTCTCGAGATTTAATTCCGTGCTCTACCTCAATGAAACTTCTTGAAAAATCCAATTTCGTTTTACACTCGATCGCGAGTCGGAAATTGTTGACATCGTGTTTTAGCTGAATTTGCTCGGTCTGATCGAATTAATTCAACTCCCGAAGTTTGACAACAATTCCGTGCCGTTTCCAATCCGACTTCGGCGATGTTATGAGGTCGACTATAATTCGATTCACTTGTTTCCAATGTTAATCTCGTTAAGAAGTACTCAAATATCGCGTACCTCGCTTTGAAGTCTACCGCTGCTTTCACACAATATCGTTATCGTGGGGTATATCCCAAAAAGCAAGAGGCAATACAGGGTCTATACCTTTTCAACTTCGATTTCGGAATTGGTAAGTTATATTTCGGAAAAAGTAATCTCGATTTCAGAATTGGTTAGTTCGATTTCACAAATGGTAAACTCAATTTCAGAATCGGTGAGATGAATTTCAGAGAAAGTCCATTCAATTTCAGAAATGGTAAGTTGTATTTCAGAATTGGTAGGTTCAATTTCAGAAAATAAATCCTTATATTTGTTTGAAATGTTTCCAATTGCATGTGAGATTAACAAACCATATTTACAATATTCAACTTTTCAAAAACAATTAAATAACATAATTATAATCTCAATTTGATCCACAGATGTCTTCCATCCGAATCGCAGAAGGATAGTAGCGTAGCACATGATTATAAGAATGCAAACACATTTGAGGTATTATCATTTTCATTGAATGATCTGCACATTCTTCAAGACATCGCAGTCCGAATTCTATCTGGTTGAGCAATCTGTTCGGATCCCCAGCTATGACCCTTTAGCGATGCTCTTGCAAAAAGCTCTTCACTTCTGACTTGAAGGTACTCCATATATGTTCAATCGGATTAAACATAGGGCTGTAAGGTGCCAATCTGTAAAGTATAACATCTTGAAATTCTTCCTCCATGCATATCTCTTCTATTCTTGAATGTGCAGGTGCATTATCCAGAACTACCACTATGGCATCTGCAGGATGCCCATTTCAAACGCACACTCTCAAACACCGTTCCATCCACTGTAAACAATCCTCTCTTTTGCAATTGAAAACATCCCAAACATATATTTGGATTCATCTTCTGAAATTGAACCTACCAATTCTGAAATACAACTTACCATTTCTGAAATTGAATGGACTTTTTCTGAAATTTCCAATTCTGAAATCGAGATTACTTTTTCCGAAATATAACTCACCGATTCCGAAATTGAAGTTGAAAAGGTATAGTAGAATGAGTGTGAAAAAACAGGAAATTTCGTCATGAAACTTGGTATCTGGGAATGGAAGTCCACATATCAGTTGACTATTTATAAAAGTGACGCTTATCAATGTGTACGACTATGCCTTCGAAGAGTGAGAATATAGAGGTATTCTTTTTTATCTTCATTGTCTGCATTTAGGTATGTATAGTATCATGACATTGAATCCAGAATTTTGTATAGTTATTTATTCAACGTTATCCACTATACGAAGTAATCAACTATTCCGAATGCAAATGGAATCTTCTTGGTGTCGGCATTCAACACGATATGAAAATATCGCTGTACTTTTATTGAGGTCGTGTGTCCAAGAATAGAATACAAAATGTTCTTATAGACGAAAATCGAATGAAACTCAATTTTGAGTACAGTGTGCAGCAAAACCTCGATGTTCGACTATATTTTTGCTATTTTTTTGTGATTCTCAACTCACAGCGGTTATTGTCTTGATCTTACTCTTTCGATGCAAGTAATTTGCTATAATTACTATCGAACCAACTAATGCATTCATCGCCTTATTTCTCCTACAAAGAAGAACATTTTTTTTCTGACGGAAAAAAAGTTTGAAATTTCATATCAAATAACAGGTTATGAAATGTCACTTTTCATAAAGAAAATGTTTCTCACGGGAAAAAACAGGTGTGCTATAGTTCCGGAAAATACGCTAATATCACCGTCCCCGAGAAAGAACTGCGAGTCCTTTAATCTTCCATTCGACTTTGCGGTTACGTAAATTACTAAACAACCACTAAATTCGCAATTTTTCAGAATAAAATCACAGAATCTCACTGACAGATATTTGAGTTCTTCAAAAAAATGATAAAGATGCCTGCGAAGCAGGTGTCATACTGTTAAAAACTTTCACGTAGATAATTTACTGATTTAAATATAATGTAATAACTTTTCAATATTGATTCGTCATTTTTTTTGTCACAGGAAAAAAAAGTGTATTATACACGGGAAAAATATTAGTTTTCAGCTCGGGGCTTTTTGTCAACACAGCCTGGAGCTAAGATCTACTACTTTTTTCCCTTGTAAAATAACTATTGTTCGCAAATTCTCTATTCATAAGGAAACTACTAACAATCACTAATTAGCCATGAAAGCGAGCTTGTCACTGATATTTGACATTCGTCAAAATTATTAACATGAAAAATAAATCCCTTTTTCATTAGAAATGATAGATTGAAATCGGTCCAGAAATGTTAAAAAACTAAACCGTTCAATGAAATCAATATTCTCTGCTCAAATCCAGATTCCGTAAATTATAATTTGTTGATACGAAGATGGCACAACAATAATTTTCCGTTATTATTACTCTTACTAAACTTGACATCTCTTCTTCTTCTTTTTGGTCTTCAACCTTACCACGTACTTCTCATAGTTTTGTTACAAGGAGATTAGGTAATTAACCCATAGTTTCCTTTGCAATAATTTGTTTATTATGCCAAATAGTTTTCTGTACCTTACGATGATTTTATCATGCCATTTAGTTTGTATAATTTGTCACTGTCATTCAGTCTTGTCATGCTGTCACTGTCACTTGCTTACTTTGGCGATTCCTGGATTTCTGTCTTTCAATAGCCATCCAAGATGAAACTCAGTTGAGTGAATTTGAATAACTGATTTTTTTCGTGCCAATGTTGAACCCCATGATTATAAGGTTCTTTTGGCTGTTCAGCCGTTATAAAAATTTAATCACCCCCTTACCGGACTGATTATTTACGTTGAAATAACCGCTTGATTTTTTATTTGTTGAATTTGTAATCACCCCATGGCCTAGGTATGCTTTTTCCTCAGCAAACTTATTGTTCGTCTGTAATTTCATCTCTTACAGGTACTTTATTCAATTTGTGTCTGAAGATGGCTGTTTAGCCGAAACTAGTCACACTAGTAATTGTGTAATATAATTTTGTGGTCGACCGACTTGGTGTATTTTGTTTTTCTTTGAATTTTCCGTATGTTGATTTCAATGTTGGTGTATAATGTACTATTTTTGACTTACCAGATACGACCAATTGAACGGACATGGCGTTTCTCAGGGCATCGAACCTTCGTGTAGCATCCCTGGTGGGGGCTACGCATCTGTACTCGCCCCCCTCTTGGTACACCACAGTGTCCAGCCTCAATTCCTGGGAAGCTCCCAGAGGCTCCAGCCGCCCTGTAGATGGCTCGACTCTCGTCCAACAACCTGTCGTCCCTGAAAAAGATAATTTCACTTCATAACCGCACCGTTGTCTGTCGTAACATTCGTCATTTCACTGTAGATGTATAGAGATCATCTCAGCAAGCATATAACAACATGTTAATCTACATGCAAGTGCACTGAAGAAACTAATAATAACAATAATAATAATGATAATATGCAACATCATTTTACGGCCTTTGAAGCATGTCAACATAATATTCCTGCAGGCTATAGTATGCTTTCCCAAGAAGCAGATTTTTAACCGATTTTCGGAAAATTTTATGATCCAATATAATCTTGGTTAGCTGTGGTAGGTTATTGAATATTTTCTTCCCTTCATACATAATAGAGTGTCTTGTTAAATTCAGTTCAGGTATTGGCAAATGAATTCCTACTCTGTCTGGTATTGTAAGGTCTATCTTCACGAGTATCAGTAACGCATCTCTCGTGAATCAGGCACACCACTTCCAGAATAAAAATGCTCACTACAGTTAGAATCCTCTGTTGTACAAAGAGATGTCTACAGCTATCTCTGTAGTTAGCTCTACACAAATATCTAAGAGATCTCATTTGTAGTATGAATACCTGATTAAGGAGTTCTTGATTACAAAATCCCCAAAACGCAATGCCATATCGTAGATTCTACTAGGGCAAAGTAAGTCGATCTGGCTGTGGATATGTCGAGTTCATTTGCGACAACTCTTACAGCATATGATCCAGAGGCTAACTTCTTACATAATGATGTAATATGTTCATTGAATTTCAACTTATTATCAATATGCAATCCAAGAAACCTAGTACAGTGTGTTTATGCGTTATTGATACCATCCAGTTGCAAGTTATCATAGCTGAATTTGAAGTTTACAATTTTCGTCTTATCCACATTGAAACAGAGAAAGTTTGAGTCACACCATTGTTTAACCTTGGATAAATCTGAAGAGACCACTTGTTTCAAAATTTCAGTGTTTTTTCCATGCCATAATAAAGTGGTATCGTCTGCAAAAATTGGAGGAAGTGAAGGATCCGTTGATATTTATTGTAGTGAGATCGTTAATATATAGTAAAAACAAAATAGGTCCTGAAACAGATCCCTGAGGTACTCCCCAATGTGTAGGCTTAATGTCAGAACACACATTGTTTATTTTTACTATTTGTGATCTATTATCAAGGTATGACCTGAACCACTCGAGATTTGCTCCTCTTATTCCATAGCGATGCATTTTTTGCAGCAATATTCCATGATCAAATGCCTTTGAAAAATCACAGAATACTGCTGCAATAGCTTCACATTCATTCAAACTCATGTATACTTGTTCCAAAAATGAGAAGATTGCGTCATTAGTATTTTTGGAAGTCTGAAACCCAAATTGACATTCATTTATTATATTTCCATTTGTTAAAAATTTCAATACTACTTGAACTTTCAAGTTCATACCTCATCAGAAATCCACAACTTGAACTCAGTCAAAACATCACGATTTTCGAGATATTGAACTTCAATAAAAAAAATTGAATTCCTATTTTCAGAAGCTGATAAGGAGTATGTCATGTTAATTCTTGTTTTCGATAAAAATTACTGAATAGTAGGTGTCAGGAAGCAGATTTTCGATCGATCGCAGTCATTTAGGGTCTTCCAAGGAAAAAATTGGACATAATTTCATAATTTCATGAAAGAAAACCTGGAGGATCCGAATCGGACGATATTTTTCAGTACACAGTAAATGACTGCTATTGGAAACCTGCCTCCTGTAATTATTACAATAGAGAAACAATTGAATGAACAAAGTCGAGTGTGGATTGTCAAAATCGGTGAAAATTATCCTTTCCACCATTACAAGTCAAGTTAATGTATCTCAATCTATACTGACATTTCCAATGAGATCCAAGGGCCAAGTTTGTTTTTCTGCCAAAATGTTGAAGTTCACTTGATTTATGATTATACACCTGCGATGTTGAAGTCGACAGCTATTTCAAAAATTCACCACCACCCCATCTAAATCTCTGATCAAACTTCGAGCCTTCGATCTGCCTTAATGAAGAAGTTTGAATATTCGCCACGGGATCAGAATAAACATTACCCGCAAAGTAAACTCATCTCAAGTTTATCCTTCACCTTGCTTACATATGCATGCCGTGGCAAGAACTTAAGCGCTTCGAGAATTCTCCAGCTTTTAAGAACAACACTTAGACGAGTCCGTTTTTGCCGTAGGATGATATTTGCAGTTTCTCCGAAACCGCCCGACTTAATTTCTGCTGTTATTGTTATCGTGGGATTAACGGATGGATGGGAGCGCAGGCTAAAACACCCCTCGAGGGTGCTTGCGCATACTGATTAAGATTTGATAGGTCGACAAGCTTCCAGAGTGCCACATTCTCGAAATCCTTGCACTTATTTGTTATCACCTAAGACTCGGTGGTACAATATCATGATACAAGCGTACTGAGAGTACGGATCTACTAATGAGTTTTGGAGAGCATGTAAGCCCAAAGCCAATCAGACTGCTGATTGCTTTCCGAATGTTTTTTCGGCGAGTAGGAAATAAATTTCAGCTCGCGAAGAAAACCAATACAAAGCAGATTTCTCAGTCGACTATGATCTCCCGAATTTCCTTCCAACTTCGGTTGTATTGATATGACACTCCGAATTTATTCGATATCGAACAAAGTTGATGAAATCTTTTCGATTCTTCGAGCATTATATATATGCCGAGGGAAATCTCGCAAGCGATTCTCTACAGCACGTTTACAAAAGTTGGCGGAAAAGTTGATGCGAAAAACCAGGACTTTCGATGACTTTATTTCCGGTTGGTTGGCAATTTCAAAAGCTGGGACGAGAATTTCTGGAAGAAATATGCTTATAAAGTGAATTCCGATAATTGGGGATGGTCCAAAGCCTTTGCTGAAATCATTATGATCCACAAATATTTGAGGACGCCTAGAGGTTGACAATAGACCTCTCCATTATTCGAGAAATAAAGTTTCTAGTGTCGTTAAATTTGACCCTTCCTAGTTATAATTTCTTGAAGGAAAGTCAAATCGTGGTGCTCATCACATGTTTATCAGAAAATGGAGATATATTATTTGATATCGAAAAAGTAATTTGAATGCTTGTGAATTCGAATGTCACTGGGCTGTGTCGTCAGTGTTTCCTCGTAATCTACAGTTTGGTTAAAGCACTCTGTTTTTGCCAGGCTGTCATAAAATTTCTTTAGCGAAATATAATTTCTTTGCGAATGACTGGAAATATCTTATCGCTGAACCTAACGAGATTTTAATTGACACCTCAGAATCTAGAGTAGGTCCTCGAAGCTTCACGATAAATTGAAAATTTTCAATGAGATTCATGTCGCAAAATTTTATTATTGCTCTCCCTTCTGTGACTCGCAAATACCCTTCCGAAGGCATTTCAATCACACCGTATGCCGCTAATAGCATCAAGCGGGTCGTGGATGAGTTCTGAGTTATTGTGGCATTAATATTTGAGCGATCAATCCACTTATATGTTCGTCGACATATGCGATGCGGAATATTATTTAACCGAATTTGGTGGGTAAATGCGCTAGCAGCAAGGGTACGGAGTTTCCCTCTTCTGCAAATGGACTGGACGGAGTTTGCTGCGTTCATATCGTTTATAACCGAACATGACATCGCACGTTTTCATTTATTGAGTTCAAACCTCAACCTTTTACATGATGTCACTCCCAATGAAGAACACCAACATTAGAAGAAGCAAAATAATTGTGTAGTTTATATATGAAATTGGAAACATTGAGTTCTGATTCTTCTATGATGATATATAACACTGTATACGTGATACTCATGAAAGTGATTGATTTTGATATATGTATTTGAAAGTCCGTCTGCACTTTCACTTTTCATAGTTTTACAATGGGAAAAATAATAGGTTTGCTTAGGATTCCACTAACTGGATTGCATCGATTGCATTGTGACTCAGACATGTCGCATATTTCGATCGATAGATCCAGCTCCAGATGAAGTCAATTTCATTTCATTCAATGAATGATTTTTTAGATCCGTTAGCAGGAATAAGAACAAATTACTTTATCAGAGATGGCAAATATTTGCGAAAATATTCAGGGGCAATGACAGTACTTATTTGACCGATGGCGAACAGGAAATTGGACATCGCAATATTTGCTCACCTGTTGGACAAGCAAGTTGAACTGCTCCTCCCAGAGAGACTTCCAGTTGTCGGCCAGTAGAACTCAACTCGCTGACGTCGAAATCCGGCTCTTGGGTAACATCCGTCTCATCTGTCAAGAACGAGAAATAATTCAGTTTTTATCTCGATGTAGAAATCAAGATTGTTTGGGAACTGCCTATAAGGATTACACGACTAGGAACACAATAATCCTGATGGCTGCAGTGTTGGGACACTAGAACCCTTATTCTGATTCAATCAATCAATTAATCGATCTCTCATTCCAAGAACATTCATCTCGAAAAGTCTTTTTCATAATGGGAGATATACGCGGAATTCGTTCAGAGCTCTGGTTACAGGATTGACATCTGCCCATTTCTCGACACATAAAAAAGAGAACAATTACCGAGACTATTATCCATTATCGGCTCTCTCTGGAGCAGTAATGAAAGGAGAAAAAGTTCAACAAGTTCCGTGAGCGTGAGAAAAACGAATTGGGATTTCCGAGGTCTGACCTAAAATAGATCTAGAACATGTTTAAGATGAGGTCACGTCTCATCGCTTGATCAGTTTTTCAATAGATATTAGTAAACTTTCCAATTCTGTGATCATCAAAACAGTGACTCAAATGATCATCTACTTCATATTTTACTTTTGAATTATTGTGGTTAGCTCACTCACGTCTGGTTGAATTTTATTCAGCGAGCATATCGTAACGACATCTCAAAAACGACTACAATTTGTGAAAGTATTCAGAGTATATGTTACATCTAGCTAGGCTATCCTCTAGGTTCATATCTCAGAAAAGCAATATTGATAAACGAACCTATGGCAGTGCTCGAATTGCTGCGAATCCCGATGACTGAAAAGTTCGATACGATGAAAGATCTCTTCCACTCCAAGCCTATGAGAACTCAATTTATTAACAGTCGGTGAAAAATCACCAGATATATCCTCGAGCAGAAATTTCTCTCTCGTAAATTTAATTTATGGAGTTCTTAGATAGGACACGGTTTTCACGAAAAAGACACTCCTATTGAACCCAGAATTTATACGTTGAAGCTTTCAGGAGAAAGTTCGACAGAGACATTTTGAATGATCAATTTTGGATTTTATGAAGTTAATATTATGAATTGATACCGTATATGGAAGTCAGATGAATCTTTTGAGTCAGAAATGAATTGAGAGATCGCCAACATCAGACATCGTATGATCGTAATGATATGAGGTCTGTTTGTGAATCTTCGTCAGAATCGATTTTCAGACAATGCTGATGGATGGACAATAATGATTACCATATCGAGGCCCTTCAAATTTACACCTGACAAAGGTAGTACTGAGGTATTACCCGATGCTCGAGAACTTGCCGGGTCGGTGTCTGGCCACGCAGTTGTCAGACTCGTAATAAGATTCCGAATAAAGTGATAGACAATCCTGATAGTGATCTTGGAACTGATATGCGTTCCATGCGGCTCTTTCAAATCTATGAATGGATTCCTAAACGTTTTGTGAGAGACAATGCTAATGGTGGTCTTTTGATGAATAAGAGTCCTATGTTTGTTTATTTGCCAGTTGTCAGACTTATGATAAGATTCCGAATCATGAAGTGACAGACAACCCTAATAGTGATTTTGGAAATGATATGCGTTCCATGTGGCTCTTTCAAATCTATGAATGAGTTCCAAAACGTTTTGTTAGAGACAATGCTAATGGTAGCCTTTGAATAAATAAGATTCCTATGTTTGTTTCTTTGCCAGACTCGTGGAAATATTCCGACACTAAGCGAGAGCTAATGATGTGAGTTGAATTGAGCGAAGAAAAAAAAATCATTAGATGTGAGTGAATGATCGTTGTGGATACAATACGGGGTCCATATGAGAATGTATGTCGGCTTTATGAATTTATTGATTCAGTTGAAGGCAATGCTTGTGTGCTTTCAATCTACTGACAGCCGATCGAGGCCATTCTCCAAACTTACACCTGACGTTGAGGAAGTACCCGATGCTCGAGAACCTGCCCAGCCGGTGCCTGGCCACGCACTTGTACCAGCCGCTGTGCTCGCGCCTGATGTCGGTGAAGTTGAGGAAGCCGTCGGCGGACTGCTCGACGGGCGGCTCCCCGTCATCTTTGCGCCACACGGGAGCCGCCCGCGGGTTGGCATCCACGTCACATTTGAGGGATACGGGCATGCCCTCGCGCACTGGGAAGCCGAAGCCTGGGTCGCGGGAGATGCCGAAAGAGGGCGTATCTGCAAGAAAAAAAAACGTCGTTGAGTGTTGCTATTATAATCGGGAGATTTATAAACTGAAATGTAACTGGCGTCTAGAAACAGGACGCATAAAATATTGCCCCAAGGTTGGAGAGCTGTATAAGGTGATATGAGAGAAGAATATATCGTTTCTGCATGAAATTAAAGATTACCTTTTTTTTTTTTTTTTTTTTTTTTACTCGGTCTAAATGAACCTCTCTTTTGAAAATTATATTTTTAGAAAAATTGCTTCAGCAAAGTAAGAGGCTACTCTTCCTAAACCATCTAACATACCTCAGCCTAAATGATTCTTTTTCCCTTAAAGTATATTTTTCGGATAATTATAGTTGAAAGAACAAAGAGGACTACTTTTTCCAAATAATCTATCCTAAAGTATATTTTTCGGAAAATCACTCCTGAGTCAAAACAATGAAAAAAAAAATACAAAAAAAATGTCAATCAATGAGGACTGAGCTCGGGACCTCAGGCATGGCAGACGGACACTGAGGTCACTAGGCCAAATGCTCACTTTCTATTTTACTATCAAGAGCGAACTGAGAAAACGCCAGCACCAGCAAAAGATGTGTTCTCGATCGTAGTACAGCAGCTTGAAATTTCCGAGGAATTCACAATGTTTTGACTATTGACATAGTTAGCTCTGGGCTCTGATAACCATAAAGTAAGGGTAGATAGAGGAAACTGAGGTACTTCAATAACCTATATTTCATGGGTCTATTATAACCAAGATACAGGATGATTTATTAATTTTCCCCATTTTCTCAATCAATCATAACTCATAATGCACAATGCACCCTATACATTTTTGATATATTTGGTTGGTATGTTCTCTATCCATAGTGGTGTTGATTAACATAACGAAAAGAGGTCTCATTTCAGGTGCAACCTTGAAAAAATTAAAGAGTAGATTTTGAGCAAAAAAACTCGGAACCAACACCCTGTTCATCAATATTTTGAAAATTGATTTTCAAATTTGGGAAGAACAGAGAAAAATAAGTAGAGCGGAATGTATCTGGTGTTTCCGCATACAACTATTTTGCTTATTAACTTCAGTCAAATTAAGATGTTTCGATAATGAGAAAGCACGAAATTGAAAAGAAAAATCATCCTCAAATGATACTTTTTAAGCTCTGATCCATAATATCATCAACTAATGATTAAATTTTTTGCCGCCTCAATATTGGAAGATCTAGATTTAACTCAAGTTAATGGGTAAAGAAGTTGTATGTACAAACACCAAAGACATTCAGTTCTACTTATTTTTTTCCTCTTTTCAAATATTATGTGAATGAAATTTAAAAACATCGATTTTACTCTGAATCTACTTATTAATTTTAATTTAGTATGTTTAGTATGAAACAAATAGATGTAACATATATATGGTGCATTATAAGTTATGATAAATTGGAAGAATGGGAAAAATTGATGAATCATTCTCTATCTTGATCATAAAGAATGATAGACCCATGAAATATTCGCGGTAGTCAAGGTCATCATCGGACATTACGATGACATGAACACTACGGGAAAATATTCCCAACTCCTGGCTCAGATTGGATTTTAGACATGTTTTTCCGTAGTTTTTATGATTTTTTGTCATCGCAACATCAGATGATGACCTTGACTTCTGCGAATAGGTTATTCAGAAGTACTTTGGTGTCCTCGATCTACCCTTACGTATTGCCATTTCCTCATGATCACCCTATATTTTGACAATTGACAGAAGACAATTGACGTTTCGATTTCAATATGTCAATAATATACATAAATTTGGCTCTTAATACCAAATATCAACCTTTAATCCAAGTAAAATCATGTTCCTTCAATTATTCAGAAGTAATGAAAGTATGGAAGATATAACATTATCCAGTACTTGACGATATCCAGATTTTTATCTAGTTGGATGTTGAGAAATAAATGAATATTCAAAAAATTCCAAGTAGAATTTGTTCCTACGATTGAAGTAAATGCTACTCTTCTATCACTGATATTCCGAATATCGACGTGTTTACCTACATCTTGATTTATGAATGAATCATAAACGAATCTGTCACTGGAAAGCTACTATATCTTGGATATCTTATTCGATCTATATTTCCCTCAGAATTAAACTCACTCCAGATCAAATGCCCTGTATCCAACCTCGATAGTTTCTGAACTGCCACAACAAGTTATGATGTGAACAGGTTTAATTTCGACGATTATCGTTGAGTTATCGAGTTCGAGGATGATGGATATCTGATCCCATCAATATCGGACAAAACCTAATCAGATGATGGATCGAGGATTTTGAGTGCACCACCGCCTAATTCACTTCAGTCCATCGAGGTGAAACATAGAGGGTAGTTCAACTCGATAAATATGAAATGGCATATCCGACTGTGCATCTCAAATTAATGTGTACACACACATATTTGAAAAAATAATAGGACGAGTCCTTCAAATTCCATATCGATGATTTTTCCTTTTCCACGAAAACTTGTTTATTCAGCAAACATAATATGGAAGAAGGAAACGAACCGATCTATCTAAATTCGGTTTGTTTGACTGGTTTCGCCTCAAATAAAAAAGTCTGAGTGATGTAAATGAAAAATTATCTGTAGGAATTTGAACAACAAGTTTTATGAATTTGAAAAGATATTTTTTTAAACAATTTGATAAAAGGACAATTTGCTTATCACTCGCATATTTCACAAGTCAAATCATTTCTACGTCCTTCTAGTATGATTAATCAAATGGCTCGTGATGTGTGTTGCATACATTTGTGATGACTACGAGAGAGAATACGTAGGTCGCATAATACAGTGCTTTTCCTTGTTGTCCCCCCCTTTTATTTAAAGAATTGAAACTTGGGGTAGAGAAGTTGAATTATGAATAATATATTTTTGAATATGTTTCAATTTTCACTTCCGGTTTCACGGGTAGTGATAATGACTTTTGATTTTCAAATGAAACACCCTGTATATCATTGCAAATTCTGCATTATTTTCTGAATACAATGATACCAAATAGGTGACATTTCAAACTTCAATATTGATTTTAATTTCATTTTCGATTTTCCATCAGTGTGTCTCATGAGGTCTTGACTATTCTAATCGAATCTGATGCATGTACTCATATCGATAGGTGTAAAACTAAAAATATGATTCCGGTCAAAAATGTAAAATTTCTTGATTTATCACCATATTAAGTTCATGAAAATGGTGAATGACAACTGTCATAAAATGATTTTACGATTAAGACATCTCATGAAAGAATCTTCGTTTTTATCGCCTTCGTATCGAATATAACGTCAATGATAGAAATCACGTGTGTGGTTGAGTACAGATTGAAGAAAAGTAGAAGAAGAGAATGTTAACCCAATATTGTCTATTTTGACATAAACAAATGAGCTCTTTCCATAGTCCCTTCCCCAGCGCCACTTGACATGCAGACATATTTCGATTCACTGAATAGACATATTATGCTCTCGCCTACTAACTACCTAACTAGGTTTCCATTTAGATCGACAATGAATAGACAATATTATTACCTCCTCGCACTAGGTCGCCTACTAGGTTTTCATTCAGATCGACAATGTTCATACAATGTACAATTTATCTGAAACACATCTTATCGAAAAATAAAGCGACATGTTTGAACAATTTCAACAACTTGTCTAGAGACAACGAAGCATTAATTAGACTTTTTAACGACTATACGACGCACAATTGCGCATCACCCTACAAGTTATAATTGAAATGTGAACAGTGAAGTGAAGTCGCCCCTGTTCTGGAAATTGGAACAATTAAACTTCCATTAATGCGTTAGGGAAATGTAGTCCATAATGGATTTGAAGTCGGATAACTTCCTACCCGACTAACAGCTTGAAGCATCTTGCAAACCGCAGGGATATCCGGTGTGGCCCTCTTCCATTTTGATGTGGCACAACTTTGTTGGCCATGTTTTATGGTGGCATCATCCTAGTACATAACGAAGAGAAAATCACCACACAACTTCGAACGTAGGTAATGGTGTGAAGTGGGAATCTTTTTGTATCGCTTCGAGCGCACGGGAGGGAATCTCTATAATTTTCTAAGATTATCGTGCGTATTTAGGGAGTATAAAGAGAAGAGGTAGGTTTACAGGATTTCTCTTTCCATATCATGGTAGGTATGTATCGCGATATGTCCGATTCCCAGGATGACCATTAAAAATACACATAATATGCATTGAAATGAAAACACATAGTATGATCTGAATAATGGAATCATATTTTGCAAACTTGTATGAACGTTGATCTCTCGATACTCTTTCTGCTGATACAAAAAAAATATAATCCGTTGAAAACTAAAGTTTATATAAAGGCTCCTAATGACAATAATAAAAATAAAAATAATGATAAAAACTGGCAGTAGGATGATCGAGGAGGTGGTACATTCATTATACCACATTTTTGGATATTTTCTCTCCTCGATCCTTTTAAATACAAATAGAAATATTATACATATATATGTAGTAAGGACAAATCAGATGATTTGCCCCAAAATGTCACTGCGTTTAAAGAAATTTCCTATCAGAGAGCCTAGAAGGAAAATTCACTGATTTTGAAATATATTGTATTGAAATAATATTCATATTTTTATTTCATAGATACGAGGAGAATAAATTCCTGAAAAATCTGGAATAATGAATGATAATGATGATAATGATGATATGCTTAACTACCCGAAGGAGGAAAATGTTGTTGACCAAGCTAGGTCAAATAATATTGTAAAAGCAATATTTAAATTAAAAAAACATAAAAATACGGGGCAGCTAGTATAGCCAAAATAAATACCACATTAATATACTTAAATATCACAATCGAAACATATCACTAAACTATTCCTGCGAACTGCAATAGGGCCTATCAAATAATGACATTATCGTGAACTCTATGCTGAAAAACTACCAGCGAATTAATTTTGGAATTTGTCATTCATGCTGAGACGATGAAAATA